CCCCAAAACCCCAAAACCCCAAAACCCCAAAACCCCTGCTTGGATTAATTAGATTGAGTCAAAAAATTATATTAGATTTCATGAAGAGATCTTCCGATTACTGAAGACTTATTATAAGATCCTATAATTTTGAGAAAACCCTTACCTCCAGGCCTGCTGGCTGAGGTTGTTCGTACTGGCTTCAGAACATGCTTTTGGAGGATACTGTCAATTTTTTGATTCCTTGATGTATCTGATGGTAAGGATGGCTCTAGAACTGCCTGGTGCATAACCAATTTGGTAGGCCTCCCACCTGGAGGTCTTTGGTCCTTTCGATGGGAACTTTTAGACATAGTATTATGGATATGGTGCTTTAGGTGAATTTTTGGTGATGCTCGCATCATTCTTGTCATTGAATGAGAAATTGTTTCTGTTTTTGGGGCTAGTTTGCGCCTCTCTTCTGAATCTCCTAATTTCCTGTAGCGTTTTCCTGATGTATTGATACTCCGTTCAGCTCCAAAAATTAACGAATTATTGGGAGCCCTTTTCGAGTTTTCTATTCTAGAGTATTCAGAGTCTATTCTTGAATACTGTTCGCTTTTGCCTAATTTTCTACGTTGCCTATAAGAGTCCTTAGATCAAGCTTACATTGAAACTTTAGATTTGATTGGGGGTTTATTTTGATGAGTTCATTATCTTTGGGATTTTATCTATTTTTATTTAGCTTTTCTTACTCAGTTTAGTGTATTTTCTGGCTTTAATTCTTTTATGAGAGTCATTCAGTTTCTGGAACTGAGACTCGATACTTGTCGAGCTATCTTCTTTTGGATCTAGAGTAGTTATTCAAATAAATACCATGAGTTGAGGATTTTATGATCTTGGACCCGCTCATGATTCTCTTTTTCCCCACTGAGCTGTGATCGATCAAAGATCTTATTGGATTGCTGGTCAGATTTGCATTAATTGACTCTTTTGTCCTATTTGATAGAGAAAGAAGCTATAGTTTGAAGTCCAAGAGCTTACACTGTCTTTTGAGTCTTTGTTTTTGTTCTTCCTCCGAGAATTGATAGATAGAGAGCCAAAATCTAGTTTTTGATTTTTGCTTTTGGAAAGGCTTTTTGAGTTGATCTGCGCTCTTTTGTTATTGAACTCCTCAGATTTCCTCATAAATTTATCAGTAAGTGACTCATGATGTTTATCAGTAAGTCCCATTTTATGAGTGCTGTGGATTGTACTATTTCTTGATCCTTGATTCTTCATTTTTATAATCCCAGGTTTGTGCTTTGCTGACTTACTGAGGCCCTCATTATACGAGAAGTTGTCCAGGTGAGAGAGGCCTTCCAATTTGCTGTTTCTCATCAAATTAGGTGTCTTGTTAAGCTTTTCTGCTTTAGCATCTTTCAAACTGTGATTCATTTTCTTGACTTGATAGAGTTTCACTCCACCTTGAGAATTTCTTTCATCATTTGAGGTATTTCTTTGTCTCATGCTGGTTTCAGATTGCTTTGAAGACATTTTTCTTCCTTCTGTGCTGGCATCGTCTTGGAATTGAGTCTTATTATGCCATAGATTGCTAACTGATGATTCAACTTGGTTAGGGATCTTTGAAACTCTATTTGGATCTTCTTGAGCCATTCTCTTTCTGATACGATCAATTGATTTTAATTGTGAGTTATTTATGGGATATTTTTCTGACTCTACTTCTGATATAATAGGTGGGTTGAATAGTTTGGAGAATCCTTCAAAAGCAACAACAACAACTGTTATATTGTCTAAGCTTCTGAGATAAGCCGACTTTTTCAGTGTAAGCTCAACCCCTTTTCCAATCTGTGAATGGACAGTTGGCATACGACATTGATTGTATGTTTCCCAGATACATTTTCATGATTGTTCAGAGGTGAGTTTGTCAAATATCCCGTCTCAGCCTAGCTGGAAGTAATCTCATGTATCATCTATAGTAAAAGTTTCTATTTCAGGTTCTGCTATCACGACTTTTGGATTTCCCCCATATTTTTCAAGTTTAGCTTCAATATCTCCAAAGGTTCTTGAAACAGAGAGTCTTCCAGGGAAAACACGAAGAGGGCCCACGATTGTTTCAGTTTTTATATTTCCATGTTGATCTCGGACTTTCTGGCTTGATTGGGTCTGATAGATATGCCCTCCATTTTGAGTAATCCGATCATGTTCAATTTTTCTGTCTGGGCGATGATCTTCTGATAATGAAACGATTTCTTTACCACTGTTTCTTGACAAGATGCATCTCGAATCTCCAACATTAGCAACATATGCGGTATTTTCAACAATAAGAACGGCAATTGCTCAGCTACCTGATTTATCAAGTTCTCCAGTCTTTTTAGCTTGAGCTTCAGAGAGGTCGAAAAAGAGTTGCTCTGCATCTCTTCAGCCTAACTTAATGGCAGTTTTGACATCTTTTGGGAATCAGTCTTGGCGGACAATAAACTGGTGTAAATTGTCTTTGAGAAAGTCTGCTCAAACATTGCCTCCATGACCATCATAAATAGCAAAGAATGAGCATTTAGGCCATTTAGAAATATTTTCTTTACCTTTCGGCTTAACGATATTGAGAATTATTGAGACTCGATCTTCATTATAAGTTCGAATTATTCCTTGGTTAGTATTGGCAGCATAGCCAGCAATTATGCCATTTTTCTTACTAGAAAACTTAGTGCTCTCTTCATTAGGCAGGCGTAAGTCTAATGGATTCATTTTAGGTTTCATCCCTTGTAAAATCTGCTCAATTATAGCCGCGTGAGACATGTTATTATTTAAATTTCTTATCTCCTTTTTCTGAACAGAGGCTTCTTTTATTTTCTTCTATTTTATTTCTTATTTCCATTGGACAAATATTGAGATTTGAGGTCAGCAGAAGTGAAATTCCCCTTTTTAGCTTTACTTTTAGATGAATTGTCATAAGATTTTGAATAAGAATTCTCTGTTATTGTATTTCGAGCTTTAACTTTACCCTCAACTGAGGTACTCATATTCGTTGGTTGGGAAGACATTGTCATGAAGGTATGCTGATGTTGGCCAGAACTATCATTCGTACTTTTAGTCTTGCTATTACTTGCGAGGCTTGGATCAGGCCTATGCTTCCTCCTCTCGCTATTTAACTTTTGGTACCCTACTTTCCTGCTACTCTTACGAGGCTTTCTTATAACTTGTTTTTAGATCGAGATTTATCGGTAGTATCTTCTTTCAGAACTCTAGCAGAAGAATTGGCAGATGACCGATGACTTCTTATTTTAGATTCCCCACTTTGGATTATGGAGGGATTGGTCTGGTACTTCTGGGTTAGCTCTCTTCTTAACATTTATAAAAACTATTATGATTATACAATAAAAATTTAGACTTTGGGGTTTTGGGGTTTTGGGGTTTTGGGGTTTTGGGGTTTTGGGGTTTTGGGG